ATTTAAAAATCGAGATGAAAGTGTGTGGAAGCTCTTTCAGATGATATATAAAAACCGATATATTTTTTTAAAATAAAGAACCCAATGATGAATTTATGTGACGGTCGACCAGCAGATGGAAATGATGTGAAAAATGATAATGACGTTTTGCTACCTGTCAAATCGTATGGAATATTTTTTAAGTACATCATCAGTTTTATAATTGCAAATATGAAAACTAGGTGTCGCATGGTCAGTTTTACCTTTGCTTAAATTCATCAATACTGTGTCACCGTCAGCGTTGATGAAGGGGTTCGTCCGTCGAATGACAGATGCAACGCATGTCAAGTTGCTTTTCCACCGATCATGGTGGGTATTAAAGAGCCTGAATTTATAAAGAGACGACATCTTATCCATTTGACAGGTCTTCTGCTCGATTGGAATGACTTTTCCTATGACTTTCCCGCATAAGCGCGAACCATAAATTGACCTTACCTAAAATGGTTATAAATTGTTTATAATCCCTGCTAAACTTCAACTGAAATGGTTATGGAACTTTACATGAACGTTTAATGATAAAGTTTTAACCTTAAGTATTATAGTTTTTTGGAAGTGGACCTTACAAATAATGGGTTGTTAAGAACCATTACCATTCAAAATTCTTGTTTTCTCCATACATTTTCGGAAAGAAAACTATACTAAAACCTTTTAACTTATGGTTTGAGAACATTAATGGTAATGGTTATGGTAACCAGTAAGGTCCATGAATGGTTTTGTAACATCGATCAACTTTATGTGGAATATATCGCGAATTGGTTGCCTGTAAATTACTGATTACCAATTCACGATATATTTCACGTAAAGTTGAGCGATAATACAAAACCATTAATGGACCTTACTGACTACCATAACCATAACCATTAATGTTCTCAAACCATAAGTAAAAACGTTCTAATATAGTTCTCTTTCCGATAATGTATGGAGAAAACAAGAATTTGGAATGATAATGGTTCTTAACAACCCATTATTTGTAAGGTCCGCTTCCAAAAAACCATAATAGATAAGGTTAAAACTTTATCACACAAACGTTCATGTAAAGTTCCATAACCATTTCAGTTGAAGTTTAGCAGGGATTATAAACAATTTATAACCATTATCGGTAAGGTCATGTGATGGTTCGCGTTTATGCGGGTTGACACACTATCGATTGTTCCAATTTTGACATGTCGCCTCTTTATAAATTTAGGCTCTTTAGTGGGTATATACATGGTGATACAGGGGGAAAAGTGCTGTTTTAGAGCAAATTGTAAACAAACTCGGTCGCTGTCCCATACAAAAATCCAAAATGGCTGAATTATGAATTTGACACATTAGAACAACTCAAGAGCAAATTTTCATTACGTCGCTATTATTGCTATTCATTGCTATTACACTATATCAAGAGCAAATTTTCATTACGTCGAATGTAACAAAGGTAAACAAAGTCGAGCTATCAGTGTCAATCGATGCTCCTGCTATTACACTACATACTGTCTGAATATAGGATCACATCCCATTTTTAAAATTATTTACCAGTCAAATTGCTTTTCGACGTAATCACCTTCCGATCAAAATAGTTTTCGATGTTACTTAAGTCACCCGATTTCTATGGAGATGCCGTTTGCCTTAAGTAACAGCGCAGAGAAACCAGTGAAAAGTGTACGTTCGGCGTTTCGATTTCTCATTATTAAAGTGAATAAATAAAACTGTTTGTTGCTAAGATGATTTCGGTGGTCCTAAAATGATAAATGGGCTGCAAGTAAGGAGACGTAATTGATAATTCTCCCGAATATCCTGGTAAATACACTTTGACTTAAGTAACAATAGGGGCCACCAAACGACGTATAATAACTTTTGACTCAAAAACCAGTATTTTTTAGCATGAAAGCTAGCGATTTGCATTTGTTTGATTTAACCCCGGCTTAATATGTTAAACATTGCTATCACTATGAGATTATATTTGTTTAATTGGAAATAGGAATAACTTTTCGGTCATCAAAACAAAACTTTATTTTTCTCGGATCGGTGCGAATGTTACTTACGACATAATGAAAGTTTGTTCTTGATATACTGTCCGAATAGAGGATCACATCCCATTTTTAATTTTATGTACCAGTCAAATTGCTTTTTGACGTAATTACACGCAGAAAAAAATATTTTAAACGTAATAATATTTGACGTAAAATCAATAAGAATTTCATTTTGTTTAGGCTGCAAAAAGAAATTATTATTGTTTCAACAATGCAGTATTTTTGTCCCTTAAAATCCATGGATTGTTAAATCAAAAAGAAAATCTTTTCGAATTTACAAGAGCTATCATGGTTTTGACGTAAGCTGTCAAATTTGGCAGCTGGGTCAACAACAAAATATGTTTGTTTTTTAAAAGAGATTTCTCGTTGATTCAATCATATTTATTTTATAAGTCTGACAATTCACGCATTTTATGTTTTTTTTTTTTGTTGCAACAAACAGAATTGCAATTGAATTTCAGGATTTTCAAGATCGACTATCTGAGGCATTAAATCACTGATCTCGCCATCCTTCAGAAGGGAAGTAAAGCCGTTGGTCCTTAGTTCATAAGTTGATAGGTCGATAAGTAGGGTCCAGGTGTGGGAGCTGCCTGTCTTGCGTCGGTAGCATTAGTACGGAAAACAAGATCGACGGAAAAACAAATCAAAGAAAAAAGAAAAGCTGTTTATATTTAGCAACTGCAGCATACTTATTTACCTCAAATATCAATATTTTTGGAAATTTTACACTTAGTTCTCGAAATTCACAATTGAAAACAATTAAATATTGTGAAACGCGTGAAGAGCTGAATTCAGTTTTGTGTTATTGTTTACATTTTTGCCCTGGTGAAAACGAGGAATGGCCGGTAGTTATTTTTGCATTCATGCGTTGCACCGGGTAGTGTACACAACAAATAAATGCTAAATTAAAACTTATTATTGTTGACTTAATAAAAGAATATTGTTGTTTTTACCATAGTTGCAGTTATTATTATTATTATTTATCTTTATTAGGGAGGCTTTCAGCCTTGGGCTGGTTCGCCTCCAACTAGTTGCAGTTGAAAAGTGACTTATTAAAACAAAAAGAATCCTGTTTTGAATTTATATGAATAAGTTTTATTGAAACAACAAAATGCAATATAATTTCAACCGGAATTGTTTGTTTAAATACAACTAAAGTTTTTTTGGTTAAATGCAAACAATTTTCTGTCCGTGTACCTTCTGATCAAAATATTTTTCGATGTTACTTAAGTCACCCGATTTCTATGGAGATGCCGTTTGCCTTAAGTAACAGCGCAGAGAAACCAGTGAAAAGTGTACGTTCGGCGTTTCGATTTCTCATTATTAAAGTGAATAAATAAAACTGTTTGTTGCTAAGATGATTTCGGTGGTCCTAAAATGATGAATGGGCTGCACCTAAGGGGACGTGATTGATAATTCTCCCGAATATCCTGGTAAATACACTTTGACTTAAGTAACATTAGGGGGCCACCAAACGACGTATAATAACGTATAATAAACTAGTAATTTTAAGCATGAAAGCTAGCGATCTGCTTTGTATGATTAAAACCATACTTATTATGATAAACATTGCTATCACTATGAGATTATATGTGTTAAATTGGAAATAGGAATAACTTTTCGGTCACCAATACAAAACTTTATTTTTCTCAGATCGGTGCGAATGTTACTTTCGAAATAATGAAAATTTGCTCTTGAACTATATGTACCCTAATAAAAATAACCATAAAAGAGAGTTTAACGACGTGTTAGGGGTATCATGGTATTTGATTATTAGGGTTGATCAGAATCAAATTTTACACTGACGCTGACGATGAATCAGCTTTGTTGGTTGCGCTTTAGAACGCCGTAGTTCTGTTTATCCTTATTGCGCATTTTGCACCACTACACTCTGAAAGATCGTCACGTCCGATTTACGTGAAAACATACACGGATAGAAATCTCCTTATACCTTTTGGCATTATTCATAAAATGTATAAGTCAAGTAATAAGCAGACGCCTTGCAAAAAGTTAATGAAGATCATGTGTCAAATGAAATGTATAAGTGGTCACACATACCTTTAATGCATTCTTATATGACCTATGTGGTATGTCTTATGGAATGTATAAGGTTTAGGTTTTGGCTAAAATGTATAAGTGAAAAACATGACTAAAATAATTGATTTTCGTTTCGTGTAGGTGGTTTTCGTCCACCCTATTTTTCACGCAACTTTTACCGGAATTGCACGTAGCCGATCAAAACTCAGCTTCGATTTTCTACGTAATTATTCAGGTAAATAAGACCTGATTTTCACGTACTGCTTACGTGAAATCGCGGTGAATACTACTGGAAAACTGGTAACTTTTACGTGATATTCCGTTTCGTTTGAAATGTTTTTTACGTAATTTTTACGTGAATTTTGAATGAGAATAATGGAACTTATATGTAGAAGCAGTCAATATTATGCAATTTCATCGGGCAGATATAAATTTCACGTGTTTAAATTGATACTTATATCTACTCATAAAATTGCAAATTATTGACTACTTGGTAGGTAGAAATGTTTATGAGATTTTTTATTTCCGTCAAAATATTAATATCTTTTTGCAAAGTTTTAATTATAAAACTAGAAAAAATGCTACATATAATCATAAATAAATTAATTTAAACAAATCAAATTACCGTCCAATATTTGTAGCAAGCTGCTGGGAAATTTTGAATTTAGACTATAAAGTATACATATTCGGCTAAAACGTGTGTATTTTTTTTACACCAATATCTGTTACTCATAAATGCATAAATTTTATTCATTTTTGTACTAGCAATTACTCAATCAAACTGTCAATACTCCAATAAACTAGTTCGTTTAAACCTGTTTTTTCCTATGCTACCTACAAGATTTAATTACAGAAAAATATTTATATTAAACAAACCTTCTTAACTCAATGTATTGCTTTTATTTTTGTCTCCAGGACGCCGGACACGTCAGACCAATACAGTCGGTCAATTACTTTCTGGATCCACTGCTATCGACGACACGGCGAGTCCTAAACGCAAAGATTTCAAATACGACAACAACATTTCTAACTTTACAAACAATCATATAAATAATGACAATAGCCAGGCCAAAACAAGTGCAACAGTGGATTCAGCAGCGCCAATGGTTTTACGTGGAGGTCGATCCAAATTGAATGGAATTGCTAAATATTTGACGACTGGCAAACCTTCAGCACCGATAGCCAATGACAATAAAGCTACTGAAACAATACAGACCTTCATCGATCTCACGGACGAAAACACGTGTGATTCGTTTGAAAATGTTGCCAGTGGAAGTGGTAATCCTCCAGTTATGACAACTATTGGTTTCAACATGATTCAGAGCAATCCAGCGAGCAACATTTTCCTTCAGGAGCCAGTGCTTAGTTTGAACTTTGACAAAACGCCCACGGACAAATCTCGAATGATCATTAAAAACTCTTTCCTTTCAACTGAAATGCAAACTAAATTTTCACCGCCAAAATGTGATCCGATGTGGGGTAGTGCAGCGGCTTCAATTTCAATTAAAATGGAACCATCAGAGTATGCACTTGATCTCTCAAAGCCAACACAGGTTACGGAAATAGATTCGACAACGTTCCTAAGCCAGGACAGTAATTCATGTGATAGCGGCGACAGCGGAGTATTTATCCTATCTTCCGGTGCACTCGATCTAGTGGCTTCAGCCGATCGGAAACGGCGGAAACCAGCTACTCCGCATCGCATTTTGTGTCCGTCTCCTGTGAAGAATCCCATCGTTGCTAGTCCTTCAACGGCACTGGCACATTTGAACATCCAGAGCAAACGTACTACGAGAAGAAATGTCAAATCAAAACGAAGGTAAGCACACCGTTTGCTATGAACCCAGAGTTGCACATCTATTAGTCTACATTGGAGCTGTTCATAAACACCCCTCCCCCCCATCCCCTCGCGTAGACGATCATCCATACAAATTATTCGGAAATTGTATGGTCCGTAGACATTTGCCAATCCGTTCACCTACCCTCCCAACCCTCTAAAGTATCTACGTGATTTATGAACACCCCCATTAAAAGAAGGCTTTTATGCTTTGTAGTGCTAAAATAGCATATAGTACAACGTGTATTTAACCAACCACTAATAGTAACACGTAACCAGTGTTCGGAAAATCTTATTAATTGAGCCTCCCTGAGACAATAAACTCGTATACGAATCTGGCAAACAAATTTCACGCTTAAGATTCTCATACATTTTCAGGCACACACACTCACAATGCCAAAAAATAACCAACTTAAAACTCAAAAACGGCTCAAACGTTAATTGATAGTACGCTCAATAATGTCTTGTTAGGTTTATCATCCACTAATGATAAAACAACACTATTAACAATGAATAACGCCAAAATACAAAGCACTGCATTCTTTTACCCTTTCCTTCCCATAAGGTTTTTCATTGTTTTGAGATGCAAAAATACTGTTTTGATAAAAGTGCTAAAACAAAAGATGTTCCATTTCATACTAAATGATCGAACCCATTGAAACAAGTTTTTGTTTATAATTAATAGTATTTTAATTGTTTCCAATTGATGCGCAGCTGAATTCTCAAGAATTCATGTAAACTTGAATTTTTGATTTTTTTTTCCGATCACTGAAGTAACACGAAAGACATGTGGGTCCAAGGTAAAAATAAAAGATAAAAGTTTAATTAGATATTTGTTTACACCAGACTTCACACGAAAGAATCAGAAAATGCACTGGAGGAAACAGAAGTAATAAACTCTACCGGTGTCAACAATTTACCAAACGTGACAACTTCCAGTACAGGAGCGCTACTAAAACCAGAGTTGGACAAGAAGAAACCGGTTTTGAACGATTCTGTCAATCCAACTGCGCAGCAAAACACCAACAACAATAACCAAAGTAGTAAACAGTGTGAGGTTCCTACGGCCGTGCCGACAAATGCTGCTAAACACGGCGAAGCTGGGACCAACAAGAAGCTTACCGATTTCTTCCAAGTAAGGAGGAGCGTAAGGAAAACCAAAAAAGAAGTCCAATGGGAGCGTGAACGAGATATTGAAAAAGCTATTCGTGAAGAACGTGAAACGGGATTGAAGGTAGGGTCTTACAGGTTGTTTGCAGTGTTCAAGATCATTTTTAATACTAAATTTGTGCTAACTAACCCTACTTCAGATCGCTCACTTCGAGGGTAAAGGACGTGGAATATTAACTACAAGACCCTTCATGAAAGGTGAATTCGTGGTCGAATATGTAGGAGATCTTATCGCCGTTGCCGAAGCTAAGGAACGCGAACAGATATACGCTGAAGATGATAGTACTGGCTGTTATATGTACTATTTTAAACACAAAAATGTACAGCATTGGTAAGTGTGTTGGGGCATAGAAGTACAACTTTATTTAATAGTTACTTTCTTCTAACGACATTTTTCTATTTCAGCATCGACGCGACAGCCGAAAGCGGAAAGCTGGGACGGTTAGTAAACCACTCGCGCAACGGAAATCTTATGACCAAGACAGTGACTCTTAACAATCGGCCTCATCTGGTGCTAATAGCCAAAGAAGACATTTTCGAGGGAGTGGAAGTCACATATGACTATGGAGACCGTTCTAAGGAAGCATTACAGCACTACCCTTGGCTAGCGTTCTAGAGATGATTTCATTGCACGGAAATCAAAAACAAAGTTTATTAAATTTAATGCAACCAAAATTTGCGCGCTGTCCTAATGATGATGCTTTTACATCACTTCGGCTACAGCACGGAGCAAGCGTTTCACAGCCAAGTACCGCCATATTGTTTGTGCTGGAGGGAGCAGGAAACAGCGGAGTACAAGCATTTTGATGTTCATTTTCAATTCCCAATTTTAGCATGAAAACAATAGTCTACATCTTGCAGTGGTAATCATCAAATATCAAGAGATACTCTCTTGTACCGTACCGGAGTGAACAAAATACCTACACTACAATTTTTCACCACATATCTTGTGGCCAGAGTAAACTAACACACCAAACAAAACGGCAGCGTATCAGGAACACAACTAGTTATGTATTGTTTATTTACTATTTTCTTATAGTTTATATGCTGTGCACTGTGTAGTAAAACCGGTAAGAAAAAAAAGAAAAAAGTAATGCTATAACGATAACTGATTAACATACAGTTTACTTCCTACTAAAGAGACAAGATTGTTGAAATGCAAACACAAAGATCCTATTTTTATTTATTGCATTAGTGAGTGTATGGTGCTGCAAATTACCGTTTTTTTTTTTCATTTTATTTCTGCATTTAGTTGGAACAATTTACTAAAATTATCATTGATGTTTAATTGCTGCTTAAATTGTGGTCGAGGAAACCGATAACAATCAACATTGGCTTTGACGATGAAAACTTCAAAACTCTTGCCTATCCAATTGGCAATCTAACGATAGCGCTAGGAGAAATAGAAAAATTACGATGGTTTCAAAATTTTGCACGGCGAGGTATAGGAGAGAACACTTAAGAAGCATTTGCTATCAGAAAAAAAAATTGTTAATTTTTTTATTGCTACTAGCAGGAAGAAACCTAAAAGGCACTCGAGAGGCGTAATTGTTTTTTTTTTTTCTTAGTTTTCGTTTAGATCTATTGATTCCAACCAACCCAACCAACCAAAAAAAAGAAATAAATATAAAATAAAATCAAGTTAAACTTATTCTCCCATACCTCGCCGTGCAAAATTATGAAGCCATCATCATTTTAATAGCTCTCCTATTTGTCACAAGCGGCGCTTTATGTTATCGTTTGATCGTCAATAGTTAAAATGTCTTGTTCAAGAAGAGTGTTTCATTTCTTCGTCTTCTATACCTAACAGGTATTACCTATTCTAAAAAGCATTGCAAAAGATCCAATCTTGTTAGATTATCTACACGCTCATGTAAACCAAATGGAACACAGTCTTAGTTTGTGCGTGGAAAATCCGTTTCGTTTGAAAATGGGAAAATGGGCTTTTTTCGTCAAGGGGTGAAATAAAGTTCTTGTCCTCATAATGTATCTTCGTCAAAAAATGAGCGCCTAAGGTCATCTCCTGAAGATAATTATTCTAGCAACTAACGACGATGTAGGGTAAGGAGGGGTAAGATGGGACACAGGGCAATCTACTTGATTTCTTAATTTGTTTATTCGTCAACATCAACCTTAATGCAGCCCCAGTGCTGGTTTGAAAAAGCAAACAATTATTGGGGTGTTGCATTGAATCTGTTGATATTGACAAACAAATACATTAATAAATCTAATATAATAACTGGCCCATCTTGCCCCGCGACTTATCTTGCTCTACCAGGGGACAAACGTAGAAAATTCGTATCGAATAAGCAAACAGGTTGATGTAATGAAATTGGCTTGTTAGCGGAATGCTTAAATAAAACAGCAAGTGATTCTCTTTATCAATGTTGGTACCTAGGGGGAGGAGGGGCATAGTGAGCATCCCGCAGTTTGGCTCTGAATCTCCAGCTGCATGAAACAAATCAACTGGTAGTAGGTTCAATATCATTACGATATTGATCATACTACCAACCAATTTGTTCCGAACGGCCGGAAGTCCAAGCTGGTGCACGGGATGCTCACTATGCCCCACATGTTCACTATGCCAGTCATCAATTTCATTCATTTGATAAGTTCTTTATTGCGAATGACACTGATGAAGACTGCACATTGTAGTCGAAATACGTATCTGGCATATATAGGTACCAAAATTAATTAAGAGGAATTAAATGGAAGATAACTTTTTTGCTGTTTTATTGAAGCATTCCGCTAACAACCCAATTGCATTACTTCATTTTTTGCCTATGCTACCATAAGAAGGATAGGCAGTGGATTTATTCAATTGGCACATAGGTACTTTCATATTGTATTTATTTTGATGGATTAACTTAAAATTAAAAGTGTAGGTCACAAATTAAAAATCATAAATTAAACATTGATGCGTTCAATTATTCATGGTTTACATAGCCAAAAACAAATGAAGAGAAAAGTCTCCGTAGCATCTTTCGTGGCAGGTGGAAATCAAATAACGAAGAGACTTGATTGTACAATCGGCGCAGCCCACCTAGCATAACGTACGTAGTCACGCAGCGCTCGGGCTTGGACGTTGATGTTAAATTGCTCCAAGATTGCGTTGCAATCGATTCTACCCAGTAATGTGTCCGTGACGAGCCAAGGCCATTGAAGATCTCTTCTACTTCGAAGAGGCTCCATATCGATCAACAGGCAGCGAATTTCATAGCTAGGAAAGTAACACGGGTCTCTCCAAGGTAGCTTCCTTTTTGCGAATCGAAGAAAACGTCGTTGCACGGACTCAACTCTTTCAGTATTTCAGAATGAATCGCACCAGGGAATAGTACAGTGACTTGAGGCAATAGGTGTTCGAGAAATTCTTTGCAATCCAGAAGATAAAGCCCAATGTCCTTGACGCTTTGTGTGATAAAATAAAGAACTTTGTGAAAAAAGTTCTTGATCTTCAAGTCAGCTGATCCCATCATGTAAAGCAAGTAAGGGGTCATCCATAAATGACATAGTATATTGTTGATCAATATTAGAAACCTCCACCACCCCCACCCCCTAAAGGTGTTTAGCCATACATAATATATGGCCGTTCTCGTTCTCCCGATCGGAACTTGGTACGAACGTAGAATAAACTTTAAGAACCGAGACTTCAATTAAATTAAGGTTCTACAAAGAGTGAATAATTTGTTTTCGTCTACTTTTTGAAATATTCTTTGATCATCATTTTCTAAATGTAGTGGTAAAATTCAGTCCAGTACATGTCACCACGCCAAAACTGTCCATCTCTTTTCTTCCTTTATTTCAATACAACAGCAAATGTGACGTTACACTACCTAGTACATAAGGATATTATATACAAAACATTCTTATTTCCAGGCCACGCTATGAGATAATTCAATGATACTTCCACACGATTGCTACACGGAAAAAAACATCATGTTAATGTAAAGTGATTAGCTGTTGAATTTGCACTGCTTGCCAAACATTGTAAATCGATGTGCAAATCCCTTGGAAGAGATCATATCGAAGCACGATGAAATCAACAGCAAATCACTTTATTTTAGATTGTATTGCACATCATTGTTGATGTTCTGTGCTTTGAACTCGAAATTTTTAGGCATACTGATATTAAAAATCTATCACTTTAAATTTAACTAATTTATCCTTGGATTTCATGTTTGCTGAATATGGATTTAAATAATATATCGACTTGTTCGTACTGCAAGCCTTGTTATATGTTATTTAGAATATGACCATAAAACATATATCATATTACTATCCAGATCACATGTGTCCAAATGATACTGAACAACATTACAAGGTTTGATAAGTTTGACAATGTTTTGTAATAGAACTTATCTGAATAATACACTATCATTGAATACAGCAACAATTTCGTAATACTCGCGCTCTAGAATGCAAATTATTTCGGGTGGAAATGGAGAATTATCGCTTTCTTGATCTTAATTAATTTTTGTTGACTTGCGAGTAATGTTCTGTATGTGCTTTTTTGACATTTGCTTCCAAAAGCATTTTTTTTTTTTTTATTACAGTCACTTTAACACTCTTGGGTCATTCGTGACTTGTCCGGGCGTGAGATTTGAACTCGTGACTTTGGCGTGAGAGGTATGGATGTTAACCACTACACCGGGGTCGCCCCCAAAAAAAGCAAAACTATTCAAATTCAATGGATGAAAACAGTGCCAATTCTAATGATAATCATTTTGATTTAAATGTGTTATACAGTACATTTTTCCAGAGACAAATCACTTTCACAAATCACAAATCACTTTCAATGAACATTTTGGATTGATTCGAACAGCACACACTTAGAAATAACTAATTTTACTTGTGACGGAATAATCCTTTAAAATGATAAATGAAACGTAAACAAACATGTCATGTTAAATTAAGTGCTCCGAGACTGAAAAGTTCGTTACTTGACGAAAAGTACGTTTGATAGTGCTGAATTTTGCGTCTGATATGACTCAATGTTATGTCAAAATTAACGCTCGTATATGCAGTCTCAGAGCACCTAAATTTACATTATTTTTTCTAAGTGTGTACTCATAGGAGTATTTCAAAGAAGATTTGAGGAATCTTTTAAAATAATTTTTCAACGAAGTTTTGAGGTAAATTTCAAATGAATATTGTAGAGATTTTCAAGATTATTCCTGCAATCATCTTTAAAAAACTCAAAGAAGAGATCCTAGGGAATTCTTATGCCCATTTGAAATAATTCACGTTTTTTATGTTTCTTCAAAAACCTGGAAATTTTTCGTTGAAGTCCTGAAAAAACCTGTAAAACTCATGAATTTAGTCTATAAGTCTCAACCCAAAATGTAATCATACTGAGATCAAGTTACAGTTACAGGAACAACGGTGGCAGACGGTCACCCTTTGGATTATTGAAACAGATAAAGCTTGAAAAAAAAAATGATGACCGACATAAAATGAAATTAATAATTGTAGCAAACTAGTGACCATTGATCTGCATTAGAAAAGGACATATTCCGAAAACGGAGTTTTTATAACTCCCTCTACAAAATTTTATTTTTTTTTGTACCGGGAAACTCATCTTGGATACACCGGGAAAACCCCTGAACAAATTTTCCGAAGACACCAACTTCTAGATTTTTTTATTACCTTGGATGGCTGAACAACTTTGGGAAAGACGGAAACTTTCTATAAAGTCAAGATCTCAAGATATATTTTATAAAGGTAATGCACATTGGCGCCGTATAGTGAGAAAATTCTGAACTACTGTTCATTAACCAATCAGCATTGACCCACTGTACAATTTTGCCGAAGACGATAGCCTTCTGTATAACCAGTATCAGGTGATATACCATGTGACCGTCTTACCCCTAGGGGCTGGCCAACCTTATCTCGCATTGCGTACTTTTTTTTGGTTCGTGATAAAACATTATCAATTCAAAAGAAAATTTCTTTAAAATCAATGTAACTAGGGAAAGTTCTCTAAAAATCAATGTTTACTTCGAGGTTCACTTAATGTATCGTGGATTTTTTTTTTTTTTTTTCAAAGTGTTCTTATGTTACTTCAGACGCGATTTATTTTTGTTTGTTTGTTTAAATTTGACGTTAAGCTTAGAGTGGCCGTCTTATCCCGTTACTTTTTGAGCTGTATATTTTACGCTGATATATCAAAACATACCAGCTTCATAAATACTGATTTTATCTTGAATCATTTTAGGGGAAATGTCGGCAATACCTTTATCTATTAGCTCAGAAGTATAAAAAATGTCCTTGAGCGCTCAATTTTGTCCAATGGATGGAAACATGATGTATCCTCATGCAAAAAATGAGCGCTCACACGAACAAAGCTGAAGATCAAATTGAAATCAAAATTTGCTGTTATGATGTAACTTATTTTGAATACTCCAGTTGATCTTTTTTTTTTAATTCTTTATTAAGGAGATTTTTAGCCTATGGCTAGTTCATCTCCGCTCCAGTTGATCTCTGGTTGACTTAACGGTTAACACAGCAAAAATGAGAGCAAAATGTTACACTGTTGAATCAAACGGAAAACTAATCCTGCTTTCAATGAAATCAATTTGATTACTAATTCTGCATTCATAATGTTTAACTGAATACGAGCCTGGCGTAAATGCTTAGCATTCATGCTTCTCACGCTGAAAGACTTGAGCTCAAATCTCACCCCGGGGATTCAACGACAGATGAACTTAAATTAAATTTTGAACAAGACGTTAGCAGCAGAACTTCAAGTTAAGTTGCTTTCATATAAAAAGTCTTGGCTGCATAATGAAAGCACAATATGATATCAGACTTCTGTCGCGACAGTTGAAATCAATGTTAGTTTTCATTATGATAGGAACTGTAAACTTTAATATCGATTTGCTCGGGCAAGGACTTTAATTACCTTACCTCCCTGACGAATTGACGATAGTAGGTAAAGAAGGGTAAAGGTAATGCCGAAGCTGTCATGGACCCTACTTGGATATTTCCAATGTTTACGAAATGTACTTTCGATTGCAATTTTCTCAATATCCATGGAACTGATAAACGGCCGATGAGAGTAGCTCTAAGTTGAGCCGGATTCGATTCAATATTGCCAAAAGTGGGGTTACATTCCAATCGCCAACATCCCTTTCCTATCCTTACGTATCACTCACATTTTTTTTGCTTTACACGGCCGATGTCAGTATTACAAAATTGAATTGGATTCGACTCGAAATTGCAAAAAGTGGGGGGTAAAGTGAATGAATAAAATTTCCTCGTGTTTCCTCACAAGTTGGCTTAAATAAGAAGAAAATTGATGAACATTTTACTCAGTTTATGTCCACTCACTGCTATTTATCGGCTGTCCTTGACCAATTGAGCTAATTTTATGTAGGTATGGATGACACTAATCACATATAAAAAATCAGCGCAATTGGTTGAAGGACAGTCGAGAAACAGCGGTGGGTGGACAGCAGGGGTTACCGAGGGGGACGACTCTATCTACGATGCAGAAAAGATTGTGTATGGTGTGGCTAGCTGCGCGCACGCTGAGTAGATAGAAAGAAGATTGACGATGATTCTGCAGATTTCCTGCAAAAAGATGATGCGCGATGCAAGTAGATGCGAGAAATGAAAGAAGATTTTTCGAAAAAATTTCGAAGATTGATTCGCTAGTGTGAGATTTGTTGAGCATCTAGACTTGAGATTTAGATGTGTCGCCCCCCTCGGGGGTTACCAACAATCAATTCGAAACAAACGATTTTAAATTGGTTCACTATTTGACTAGCCTATTGGTCCCAAGCAAACGATTAACGTTCCCCATTCTAGTCGAAATTCTAGTACTACACTATGTTTGTTTCGATTTGCTATGAAAGTTTGACAGATAAAATGAGGGGTTCATGGATTTTCTTATGTTTCGAGGGGTGCATCGATTAGCTTGGGACCGAAGATAGTACCAGAGCTGAGCCAAAAAGTTGAGCACGTATCTTCGGGACCTTCTGGTCTTAGAGTTACCTCTATGGGGTTACTGTATACTCATACACTGAGAAAATGTTCATCGATTTGTCTAATTTTCGAGTCGAGAACGAGGAAAATTTTACTCACCACTCACCCCAATTTTTTAGAATTTTGAGTCGAATCGAAGACATCTTATCAAGAAAACTGGCAACTCTTCCATTTTCTCGTACGACCGCAATGAGGCAGGTACAATCAAAGATGAATACTAAGGCTGTGAACCATTTGCCGAGTTAAATTTAACTCGTGGTTAAAAGTGACATTTCGAAAGTTATTTTCTATGTTCGAAAATCCCCGTGCTATCGATCGACCGGTAATCGACCCACGGTTGTCAAAATTTAACTTCTTGTCTGTCAGAAATAACCATGCTCGGATAGCAGGGTTAATCAATAACTTTCCATCTGTCAAATTTTAACCAAAAGTTAAAAAAATCCACCAAATGGTTCAGAGCCTAAGATGAAACTGTCGGAAGAAAAACTTTCTATTTTAGTGTCTTCTTTCAAGGTCCCTTTCATCCAATGAGAACCCCCCGTATTCAAGGTAATTTTGTGGTTTTGCTGCCCCCTCGGAAGATATGAAATTTTGCGCTCATTTTTATCAAAACAATCACACCAAAATCAGAGATTTCCCATTTTTTAATTACTCGATTAACAACTAATTGATTTTTTGCTCGCTGTGCTGCCATTTTTCCACGAATGAGAGTGCAGCACATGTTTGAAACGATCGGTGATGATCCTGTGGAGATGTTAGAGCTTATATCGGTATGATCTAACCGATTATAAATAGTCTACTTTTCGGTTCGTAAATCGATTAAACGATTATTCGAATGAAAATCGGACATCACTAGATGAATGTGAAACGTCATTTCAAATATAAGGCCGTTCATAAATAATGATACAATATGAAAGGGACCGGGGCTAATCACAAATTACGTCTCCATGGTTACTGAAATAAACACGAGTGTTCACCGGTTGGTACAATCGTGTCATCTGCCGTTCAAAGGTGAATGCTGCGAACGAACTTGATAGCAAGGATTACATCCTCAGAAGAAAGGTTTGTGTATTTACTCATTTTTCTATGCGTTGCTTCCACCTTCGCTCAAGTGCAGCGCTACTATATCTGTCGCTTGGATTCTGGAAAAGTTTCCAGTCTTCTTGATATGATGTCTTCGGTCGAATCCAATTCAATTTTAAGTTACTCTCATCGGCCGTGTAAAGCTACACTCAAAAAATAAATCACATTTCCAATGGAAAATATCCATTAGAATTCCACACAACTTTCATGTGATCTCATAATTGGGAATCGCACTACAAAATCACATGAACCTTATGTGTCCAAAGAAATTTATGTGATTTATCACATAGAATTCATGTGATCATATGAATTTTATGTGAATTTCAGGTACGAATCATTAATTTTGTTATTGGAAAAATATCATGTGCGTTCCCAATGGAAACTATATGAAAACTTTTTTCGGTGTAGGAAAATGTGAGGGATACGTAAGGATAGAAAAGGGATGTTTGGGATTGGATTAGAATTAGGGGAATTGAGTTGGGAAAGGCATGAGGAGGTATCGTCTCCAGTGCATCCACCACAGTTTTAATGCTTTGGTTCTGTCAATTTGTGTCGTGTTATAAATATTTTCTTCCTGTCAATTTATTGATGATTTGTTATTATTGACAGTAACTGTTGTGTTTGCATTATTTTCAACATATCTCAGTATCACAGGACACACCCCGACACCGCAAAGCCTAACTTGTATGCAACAATAGATTAAGAGTAAGTAGATTATATGCAAATGATTAATGATTTAATATAATCTAGAACCGACCCGTTAGAGGGTTCGTTAAACAGACAGTAACAAAGTAAATAGTAATGTACCGAAATAAACTGCCATTTTGTTCCCGAATTATTTATAAATTTTAAACTGGAGTTTATCGCATATATTACGGAAATGTTGTGAAATTGAGTTTAGTGCTTATTTTTGATAGCTAGCAGCAAATGACTGATTTAGAGAAAGCAACAAAATCATACGGCACGTGACACAGCTCCGTGATTATGCAATTTTAGGTTATTTCGAGGGTTATTTAGGGTGTTGATTATGTTCCACCATCATACGATTATTGAAGCGGAACGATAACAGTACAATAGTAAGAAATTAATAATTATTATAATTTATTTAATTATTGCGGAGATGATATCTTGTGAATCATGCCGTTCAATGCATCCACATAATTTATTCGAAGGAAGTCTTAGTTTAACCCATAGGTCAAGTTTTTCGAAGTTGATGAATATTTTTAAATGCTTTAGTTCCCATAGTTAATTAAGATATGATATTCGTTTCTGATGTAAGGAAAGCTGCTTAAGTTTAGCCGCACACCGTTTGAAACAATTGTGTAAAAATTATAAATTCAATACCAAACTAAATGTAGCTATTAGGTTGAGTGATTTTGTTCGTCTGATTTTAATTCTATTTGTGGTTCTTCGAGTACACCCCCGTTTATAAGGAATTTGGAATAAAACAGATTTATTATGTGTAACAGATACTATTTATAACGATAAACCAGTTAAGTGTATACAACAAACACTCAGATATACTTAAATGCAAAACACCGATAGTACTAACACACACACACACACACGTATTTAGTGAATAAATTTGTTAGATCAAACGTTTTCCTTCCTTCCCCACAAAATGCTCCGTATTGGTAGTGTCTCTTTGGTCATCCAGAAGCACAGGTCGTACTCTGGTCGACTCTTTGTGAAATATACACAGTAAACTATGTTTATTATATTATCGAGGGAAACATCTCGCGTTTGAATGAAACCGCCTCAGTAGTTAGTATTTCTTTACGAAACTATAAATTAGATTACAAAGCGAGAATACGGATATGCGCAAATAAACTGCCTGATGTGTGTACTATGATTGAAGCTAGAAGACGATAGGTCGCAGAAGGGTGAATTTGGTTGATGAGCCATTGGCATAATAATAAGTCGATGGAGGCTGCAAAGCTAACATAACATACCTACCTACCATTAAATCGGGTAAATCAGAAAAGCGGAACAAAGAATCAAGTTCTAAAAATAAAATAAACAAAAGCTAACGTCAAACTGGAGTCTGCGTGCCTCTGGTGGGTCGGTATTCGCTGAGAGAAATAATTGTTAGAAAGTCTTTTGTTGAAGTGAAGGAAATATACATTGTTATGGAAACTGATTTGAAGAATGCGAAACATGTTTAGTATGTAGAGATTGAATATCAACATCAATTAAACACATTATAACAATATCGATGTATATTTATACACTTTATTGAATAAAAATTTCGAATGAAGTATTATTCACTCATGTTTTCGTTCAACACGTATTTTTATTTTATTTTTAATCGAAAAACGTTTTGAACGAAAACGGGAATATGGGTGATTGCTTATGCCTTCCGTGGCTGATATCACATCACTAATTGTTTCAATAGAAAAAGGAAGTTTACACGTACACACTAAAAAATTATTACCGACTTCGGTAATTTTTTACAGATCTTTCAACAGCTCAACGTTCGGCAAGACTTTGACCTTCATATCAACCGAGGATTGGAACAGCTTTTTCAGTTTTGTGTTGTCGTCCATACTTTAACCAGAGGGCTTTAGTCACGGCTGGCCATATAGTGTTTATCTAACCTGGAGAAACAAATAGGTAGGCCAACACCGGGAGGAGAGAGAAAATGAGAGTACCAACAATCAATACGAAACTAACGATTTTAAATTGTCTCACTACTTGACTAGCCTATTGGTCCCAAGCAAACGATTAACGTACCCTATTCTAGTTGAAATTCTATTACTACACTATGTTTGTTTTGATTCGCTATGAAAGTTTGACAGATAACATAAGGGGTGTGTGGATTCATGCAGAACATGCAGGGGTGAGTGAAATAGCTTGGGACTGCTTGGGACCGTTGTTCTGGTACTGAGTGAGCCAAAAATAATAATGATTTTCTTCGGGACCCAGTGGTCTTAGAGTTACCTCTATGATAGTATTGTTTTGTGAAATAAGGAACTTGGTGGCTTAGAGGCGACCGATTTTGCTTACTGAGCAGAAAATTTTGGGTTCTATCTCAAGCTCCTTCACATTACAGAGTTTAGTCACAGAGAACAGACATTGAGGCTCGAACAAAATTTGTCTAAAAACTTGTGTAAAGATTCCTATTTGACTTAAGTGCCACTAACGGCGACTTCCCCACTTAAAAATCATCTTTGACAACATGATGGCGCTGGCGTTGCAAAACTTACACTAGACACTAAGTGCTGGTAGCGCCAAGTGGCAATTTTCAACAGATAATTTATCGATACTAGCGCCCAATTGGTCGAAAGTGATAAATTTAAAGAGGAAATCAGAAGATGCTAGCGGTACGTAACGGCGACGTTTCCACTTAACTTTACACAAGTTTCTGATCTAACTTGGACGTCTGTCTCTGAAATCTATAACAAATCCTTCTCAAGAGTAGTTTTTTTTTTATCGTCGGGGAAGTCGCCGACAGGATCGAAATTTAGTAACAGCAAGATGAACTTGGTCGTAAATTGTGTTGTTAAATAAGGAACTCGGTAGCCTTGTGCCGACCGATTTTGCTTACTGAGCAGAAAATCAAAGGTTCAATCCCAAGCTCCTTCACATTATAGAGTTGGACTTAAAATCGGCTTACTGTCATGATATGATAAAAAGGGTTATAAAATTTGGAGGGACGGGTACGTAAAAGAAGTAATATCAGGCGTAACATTTGATAACGGCACAAAAGCTTTTGTAAACAAAAGTTGTAAGGCCCTTTACACGCGAACCCAAGTACGCACACGTAAACCAACAACATCATCGGGTGGGGAAAATTTTCCCCTTTCCTATAGTTGTATTGGTTTGCGTGGGCGTAGTTCGGTTCGCATGTAAAGGGCCTTACAACTTTGGTTTACAAAAGTTTTTGTGCCGTTTACAAATGTTACGGCTGATATATCGGAATTGCATATAAAATCTTACTCCAAATCCCAGTCAATCCCAGTCGGCGCCGTCGGGATTTTCTGAGGCATAAAATTTATTATCACGCCTTCCTTCGGAAGAGAAGTACAGCCGTTGGTCCCCCGGTCCATGAGTTGATGAGTCGATATATAGGGTATAGGTGTGGGTGCATTAAATAAGATCGATTGAAAACAAAACAAGGTAAAAGTTAAAACATTTGTTGTCGTCGTTGGTCGCCGCTGGAATCAACCAGTAACAACAAGTTGAATGGGAACTTGATCGAAATTGTTTCGTGGTATAACGAGCTCGGTGGTCTAGTGGCGACCGATTTTGCTTACTGAGCAGAAGACCGTGGGTTCAAACCCAAGCTCCTTCGCGCTATTACATCGCTAGGACATCAATTCAGCATGTCGTTCACCAAAACGAATTCTACTGCAATCCTAACCCTTTTATGCAACATTCCAGTGATTTCTCGTGGAAGTGCAGAGGTGTTCTCGACTTACATTAAAGCGAGTATTACAACAACATATTCCTGGCCATTCCTTTCTTAACCAGCATTCGGACGTGGCCGGCGCTGGTATTGCCTAGTATTAGTTACCAGTATTTACACATTGAGAGATAGTCCCAAGCATCGTCTATTAATTCTCGGTGTAATTACAGCTGATCTTGCAATAACGGAGTTGCATCCTCGGATGGTCAATGCTCATGCTCATATATATAAAATGTAGAGATGTAGAAAAAAAGCCTGAGTCCACTATTTTTTACAAAAAATGTACGTCATCAAAGGGGATCAAGTCTCCCCCCTAGGGGGCGACCCCGGCGTAGTGGTTAACATCCATACCTCTCACGCCAAAGTCACGAGTTCAAATCTCACCCCCGGACAAGTCACGAATGACCCAAGAGTGTTAAAGTGACTATAATAAAAAAAAGTCTCCCCCAATTGGGGGTGTTATTAGGCATCTTTCAGAAAAAAAAAACTAGTTTTGGGAATTTATACATAATTTTGGAGCCTTTTGAGTATTTATAAGCTTAAAAATATATTTTTCTGCGAGCCTGCGCAATAATATATCCAAAATAAAAACTGGGTATGGAGTGTGTCCACTCTCCCACTTGTGTATGGGAAAAATGTAAATTTAGAAAATATATCACTACTACTACTATATTCAGGATAAAGACGTGGTGTCTTCTGATGTAAGAAGAAGTCGTCTCCATTCCACTATATCCATCGCTGCATGTTGCAAGCCACGTCATCTCGGTCGCCTTTCACCTGGGGTCACATTGCGAATCTCGAAACGAAAGACTTTTTGTACGAACGCTTGTATGAAAAAGTTTTTCGTTTCAAGTTGCGCACTGTGGCCCCTGATCGCTCCATCTTGCCCGCTGCGTGTCTTTTTTTTTTTCTATTACTCCAGTCGGGTCGCTATCAAGAACAATGTTCACCGGTTCGTCTTCCAACATTCTTACGACGTGCCCAGCCCAACGTAACCGCCCGAATTTTGTGGTGTTTTTTTTTTTATACACGGGGGAATCTGCTCACAGACACCTGAGAAGGAACTCAGGGTGTGGGGATGGGAGAATTTCACTCCCGACCCACTAAACCTTACCCTGTGCGCTTGGCCCTTGACCTCCCCGGAACCGCCCGAAGGCATTACTTCATGGGAGGGACCGCTGGGAGCGCTATGGTGCCTCTCTAGCAATACTCTAACGATCTAGTCGGGCAGTAGGTATCTGAGTTGGTTGGAAATGCTAACATGAAGCTTTAGTGTGATGATTTATTAGCTAGAGAATGATCTTTAGAAGAGGGTAGGTGGATAGTTCCGTTAGAGTACGGCAGTATGAAAATTGAATAGAAGTTGAAAATGAGCGAAGGGCCATTAAAGCGACAGTTTTCAAGATAGACGCACATTTTTGCCTAGCCCGTACGATGTACGCGGGGACTTGAAGTATGTCTCCAAGTCCACAGGCAAAAATGTGCGTCCCTCTTGTTGCTCATAAACTGACTGCGGCTGTGGAATAGTTCTAGCGACGTTTTCATCACTACCTAAAGCCCCACGTTTGCGAGAGCATTTCCAGTCGATGGTGTGTTATAATGCAGTTAGCATTCATGCTTCTCACGCTGAAAGACTTGAGTTCAAATCATACTCCGGAGTAGTCACGAATGACCTGAAATGTGTACAACAAACACAATTAAACAATAATCGTAAGATCCAACAACACGTTCACAGTAGAAGTTAAGCTGCTTACATTTAAAAGACTGAAAGCACAATATGTAATCAGACTTATTTCACGACAAATAAAATCAAGATGTGTTTTCATTATGATACGAACTGCTAACTTTAATATCGACACAGTCTGTGATGTCGAGTTGCTTTCATTGTGGTAACCGACTTTGCTCGAGCAATGAGCCCAAATACACGACAAACCACCTCGATTTCGTCACCGTAGCTAACATTGTCTTCCCTAGAACCTCTTCCTGTCGTGTATTTTAAGTGCTTCTAGAAGACGTATAACAATTTACAGAAAGTATCGTAAATTTCAACAGTTTAAGTCGAAAATCGCATATAATAATGCCATTCATCGCAATATGTTAAAGTGCAAATTTACGTATTGTATCACAAATTAAATCGGATTAGGTCATAAGACTTTTCAAATTGATTTTTTATTACAGTATAAATCGTATATGATATCAAATCAACTCGTTTAAAAAAATGTGCCGGTAGGGTAAACGCTCCTATAGTTGCGGTACGTTAGAAGCGTTAGGTTCATATAGTTGTGTATTGAAACATAATCGCATATCAGTCCCATATGGATAGGAAATCAAGCAAAGATGGGACTGACATGCGATTATGGGTAGTATAGGAACCTAACGCTTCTAACGTACCGCAACTATAGGAGCGCTTCCCTATATGGCCTCCACTTTTGAACGTATAAGACATGTGTTTGCATTCTATACGATTTGTTTGTGCATTCTGGTTTTCTGGGCGATTGAAGATGACGACTAGCCTTAAATTGTGCTAAATTAAGTCAACAAGTCACGATGATATTTGAAATAATAATTTGCTCTCGACAAAAACTTGGTTAGGGTTACATGATTCATGCATTAAAATCAACAAACCGCTTTCGCAAACTTTTACCTACTCATCAACTGTTCTGTTAATCAAATTAAGATTGATGTGAAAAATACACTGGGCTGTTGAATGATCAATTTCACGCACTGGACCGTAGAATTTTTAATTTTATGGCGAAGCAAAATTGAGTACGAAAAGTGGCATGGCACTCAACCACTATCATGCATTTAACCTTGGATTTAACGCAACCGGTACAGGAACCCCGACTAGAAAAAAAACTCATTGATTTAATTTGCATTGCTAATATTGTTTTATTATGGTGTTATTCATGTTTAAAGTGGAGAGGTTTTGGTTAATTAAAATCAACTATATAAAACAAATTTGAAACGTAAATCCATACAACTTAGTTTGGCTTTCAATATATTGAAAATTTTCTTTGAGATCGGGACATTACTCAAATATATACAATAACTGCACCTACTTCAGTCACATTGGTTTTGTGTTGCTGTCTTCTTACTTGAATGCTTTCAGCAAGTGAAATAAATTAATATTTGTATTATAGTAGTTACCTGTTGTTTTTTTTTTATTTAAGGAAAATCTGTTACTTTTCCGGTAATCGTGTCTTGCACGGTACTGTTGATCTCTAATTTAACGATCATTCTCTCGCACATTCATCTGAGTTTACAGTGTTGTGCTGATGTTCTTCTCAACTGGTCGTGTTTCTTTTCAAGCTCTCCATCGCGGAAATATCAAAGTCAACATGCGTCTGTTGATTGCCCTCTCAGCAGGTAATTTAAATAATTTAAAATTTTATGATGAAGTGTCATAAAAACGAATTTTCTACCTTAAATAGTACTGCTGGCTATTGTTGCGGTTCAGGCAGGTCCAGCTAAAGAAAAACCAACCAGTAAATGTACCAAGGCGTGCTCTTTTGATTATACACCGGTTTGTGCTGGAGCCAAGGATAGCAAGGATAAACCAATCAGCTTCGGTAACGTTTGCGTTATGGAGAACTACAACTGCGATAATAAGAAGAGTAAGATCTCCATTTATGCGATGCATTGTTCGGTGAAACGCAGCTAAAATAAATTTCTGGTTTACAGGTTTGGCCGTATTATCTCAAGGTGAATGTCCTGGAGGCGGTGGTGTGAGATTGCAATAACGAAAAACAAACATGACGAATTGATTATGCTCGACTTCTGCGAATATGTTTTTTATATATTGTTTGAATGTCTACAAATATAAATGCGTAGATTCATCATTTGAACAATATTTGCATTTTCTATGTATACCAAAAAGGAACAATCCATATAATTTAGAAACTGATATAGTTTTAAGATATGTTATACTGCGAAAAGTGGACCTGGAGCTAAGTGAGGCAAACCTTATAAACTTTATCTCATTTCCACTAGAATGTAGAATTTTATGGTGAATGCTATTATACATATACCACAGACATATACCGTTAATGATACGATTGAAGGAAACCTTTGTAACTGTTCGTTTGTCCCGGCAAGTTCAGTAGCAAGAGACCCTTCGAGCTGGGTCTCAAGATCGGCTTACTACTTGGTAATCACGAGGAGCTTCGTGGACAATATGGGCAGCGTACGGTCACCTGACTAGAGATACTGTGTAGTGTGCATTGAAAGAATTACTTTGACGATAAACAAGGGTTTTTATTAAACTAATTGTCCTATTGCAGTTTATTGTTCTGCTTGTGGGTGATTGTATTTTTTTTTTCTCCGGTACGTACACGGTTAGAAGAAAGTACCCAACGGCCAGTTCACTTTTACCTACTTTTGATTAGTTTGTCTCCTTTTCTCCTTCTAATGTTGTCAAAAACGGAGGAGCAAAACCACCCAACAGGGGTAGTAAAGTGTGGGAACCCAACGTTGCGTATAATCATGTTTACCTACTTTTGGGTACAACTAACCCACTTTTGGGTAGAAAGCTAGTGGAAAATTCCATACGAATTGCACACAAGTAAATGAAAACTACTTTGACCCGCTTTACCTACTTTTGGGTTCCTGCACTATAGTGCCGAGATGAGTGAAAAGAACTTACTTTTGGGTACTTTTTTTTACCGAGTACCACTGCTCCTTGCTGCTTATGCCGACGATCTGGCGACACCCTGCGAGCACTCGCTGCAGCTGCTGCTGACGAATAGTGGCTGATGGTTCTCGAAACGATGACGAATGGTCATTTAACCGCACGATGGTTTGGAGGAGTTTGTCGATCGTGTGTGGCTGTGTTAGCTTTTCAGGCGTCCTCTCGGACCGGAGTGACCGTGTCAAGAGGGGATTGCTCCTAAACGGTTATGGGTTTCAACCCCGAGCTTGAAAACCTCCTTAACGAGCGGCTGGCCCTGAGGTTGGAAATGGTCCTTTGCGGTTAGACGTTGCAAACCGAGGTCTACTACGCCGGATCGTATGCACCTGGTCGAGCTTCTGACCAGACAAAATGGCGACTTTCAGCTTAATTAACAGTATACAAAAGGTCCTGTGAGGGTAATGGGAGGTATTAGAGGTACTAATCTTCTAGTGATTAGTAGTGAGCTAAATTTAGTTAGATTCAAAGCGTAGGATAGGTCATTAGCGTACCTGACGAATCCGTGGTCCTCTCTCTCTCTCTTTTTAGCTGGATACCACTCACTTTACATTTTGGAGGACACTTTATAATTTGGCTCTTGTGCACACGAACGCCTGTAACTTTATGAGCAATGGCGCTCCTCCTTATTCTTTTCAACCCCTTTGTAACTTCTTTGTTGCTGCCTGTGAAAATTCGTAAATTTTTGCTAACATTTTACTGATCCTAATACCATAGAGGTAACTAATACTAATTCTTATTTTAATCCAACACCACTTAACTCTAGAGATGTGACTTACACAATATAAAAGCACGGTTTAAAAAATACTAACAATTTGTAACAGTCGGGTAGATCACCTTTTCGTGGTACGTTACGGGTTGTAAGATCTACCACCGATTCCTAGTCTTGACTACTTCAAATTTGGGGAACAGGATTTTTCAGTAATGAAAGGAACACACCTTAGTCCTTGTTACTTTTTATGCCTTGTTGATAGTGATAAGTCCTCGGGTTGCCTGTACCGAGGATGATCTTGAAACAAGGAAAAAATGAGTTAGTTAGTCTTCATCTATGTGATTCTTAATCTTCTATTCGTTGTTTCCTAGTTTGAAGTGGTTAAGACTAGGGTTCTGATGCATGGTCACTATCGGTGTCGTTCCTTAATTTTGTTGCTAAGGAATCCAATTTTGACTGACAAAGGGGCGGGTATTTCAGGGTATAAAAAGCGGGACCTTTCAATTAGAATCGGATCCGGATCCTTGCGATAAATGCAAGAGTGGCAACTGTAAAAAAAATCGAATATGTACTTCATCATTTCTCAATAGTAATGGAGTAAAGGGTGATACGGTCAAAATTTGGTCAAGGGAAAACGCGTGTAAATCGGTGAAATCGTTTATTTAAAAAATCAAATTAAATTTCTTTTTCAAGTTCAATTAGTATACAATTCAGGAAAAATATTCAGTTAGGCTTCCGTTTTTCCAAATCCGAATTGCCGGGCCTTACGCTTGACCCCTGCCATCAGATTTTGTACAGCCACCTTGTCCACCTTCTTCGCCGCAGAAAGCCAGTTTGCCTTGAACTGCTGCTCGCCCTTAGCAGTTTTTTTGGTCTTCTTTAGGTTCCGCTTGACAATAGCCCAGTATTTCTCAATTGGGCGGAGCTCTGGCGTGTTGGGAGGGTTCTTGTCCTTGGGAACCACCTACACGTTGTTGGCTGCGTACCACTCCATGGCCTTTTTACCGTAATGGCAAGATGCCAAATCCAGCCAAAACAGTACGGAACAACCGTGTTTCTTCAGGAAAGGCAGCAGACGTTTATTCAAACACTCTTTCACGTAAATTTCTTGGTTGACAGTCCCGGAAGCTATGAAAATGCTGCTTTTCAAGCCACAGGTACAGATGGCTTGCCAAACCAGATATTTCTTTGCGAACTTTGACAGTTTCATGTGCTTGAAAACATCTGCTACCTTTCCCCTTCCTTTTGCCGTATAAAACTCCTGTCCCGGAAGCTGCTTGTAGTCGGCTTTGACGTAGGTTTCGTCGTCCATTACCACGCAGTCAAACTTCGTCAGCATCGTCGTGAACAGCCTCCGGGATCGCGCTTTGGCCGTCGTATTTTGTTTATCATCGCGATTTGGAGTCACTACCTTCTTGTAAGTCGATAGTCCGGCTCGTTTTTTGGCTCGATGCACGGTTGTAGACGATACACCCAGCTTATTTGCGGCATCTCGGAGAGAGAGGTTAGGGTTTCGCTTGAAACTACCGGCAACTCTCTTTGTCGTCTCAGCGGCTTCCGGTTTTCGATTTCCCCCCGATCCAGACTTCCTGGCTGTCGACAAACGTTCCCCAAACACTTTAATTACATTTGTAACGGTTGATTTGGCAACTTTTAGCGATTTTGCCAACTTTGCGTGCGAGTAGCTCGGATTTTCGCGATGCGCGAGCAAAATTTTGATACGCTGCTCTTCTTGCTTGGACGGCATTTTGACAACTGAAGAGTGAATTCCAAAATCAAAATAGGAGCAACATTCTACACACACACACCTTCAAAATGAGGGGTGTTCAGGTTTTTTAAATGCAAAATTGAAAGAAATACGTCAAGTTGATATTGACCAAATTTTGACCGTATCACCCTTTAATACGACATGCACTAAACTAAGGACACGGGATATATTACAATAGATAAATTTACTGGTCGCAGTAGTGTTAGGTCCCGAACAGAGGAAAAAAAACGGTCGGTTACTCTATCCCGCACTTCGGCGAAATAAATTATTAACTAAAAGTTAACATTTAATTCACTTAGAAACTAACTAACACTCAGTACAAACAATTAGATATTTACCGGTAAAGTTTTCAAATAAGGGTTGATGTATATATTATGTCACGCTCTAGGGGGGTTGGGGGTTGGGGTTCTAAGATTTTGTGACAAGCAATGCATTAGGTATAGGAAAAACGTCACGATAGGGGGTGTGTAAATTTATTCTCGATTTAGCGTGACATAATTAATGCATGAGCCCTAATCAGCGTTTAAATAATTACAATTTCGCGCAGCATTTAAATTTACATTAGTTGTTTTAGACCATTACATTAACACATTAAAATCATGAGCAACTAAAAGCTAAATTTCAATTAAAATTTGCCATAATATGCCAGGAGTGATTTTGTTTAGTGTACATGTGAGTGTGTTAACGGCGCCGGTGGTGTAGTGGTAAGCGTGATTACCTCTCACCCCAGCAGGCCTGGGTTCAATCCCAGTCGACGCCGCCGGGATGTTCTGAGGCATAACATCTCTGATCACGCCTTCCTTCGGATGGGAAGTAAAGCTGTTGGTCCCCGGTTCATGAGTTGATGGGTCGATAGGTAGGGTCCAGATGTGGGAGCTGCCTTCCTGGCACGTCGGTAGCATCGGTGCTCAGCACGGAAAACAAGATCGACGGAAAAAACAAACCAAAGGAAAAAAAAAAACATGTGAGTGTGTTATCACTTATCAGGATCTACTACTTCTTTTTTAAGCCGTTTACGATTTTATTCGGGTTATCGGTTTTCGGGTTCTCGGGTTTACTATAGCAGAAGACGATTCAGTTTACCTACGTCTTTGATCGCCCGCGTATTGTATTACTGATGCATAGTGGATACAGTGAAGCTGTGAGATTTTCACGTTTGCTATTGATATAGTTGGTGATAATCTCGATTTAAAAGATGAGTGAATTTATTTCCGTGCCTTACTATGTTAGGCTGACGAAACAGTTTCTTTCTAGGTTTATTCGCCAGTAGGCCGCCTGGTTTGAAGGAATAACCCAAGCAACAATCTTATTTCGGTATATCATGTCATCTAATTATGTATTCAAGTAAGTCGGAATCTCTAGATAGAGCTCATCGAGAGAAGTCATTATTTACAAAGGCTGTTACGCCCTAATTCTAGCTCTATCTAGATCGATTCCCGTAGGTGAATGTTTCTCTACCTCGACCCTAACTCATTCCCAACTCTGCTACTGAGAGGCACTAGTCTGTTTATATATCTTTGGCTTTTGTTTGTGCACTAACAAAAGCCTATCGGTACCTTTTCAATTTGGACTGAAAATATCGGTAACAATAATTATATATTTTTCTCTCTCTCTTTTTCAGCATC